ACCTAGTAAATTTTTTTCAGTTGAAAAGAGTAAAGCATAATCTTCAACAAAAATAGAAAACAAGATTTTTACGATTGCGTTTCAGCGAAAAAAAGTTTAAAACTCGAACATCGCTCAAAAAGCTCTTGTAATTTTCAGTCTCTTCAAACGTTTCTTTCTCATCAATCGTTTTTTTAAACTTCATTTTTGAACTATCACTTATTTAAAAATATTAGTGAAATATGTTGTTCTGGATTATTTGATACGCAAAAAAGCAAAAAATAAATGTTCAGAAACTAGATTTATAGACGATATAATGCTGTCTTTGATGATAAGACTACTGAATAATAGTATTGTAATAAATCACCTCCGATTCACAAAAAACAATATAGTGAACGGAACCATTTTTGAGACGTTTTTTCTGAAACTAATTATTTTATATTTTTACCTCAATAGTGTTATTATTTGCACTTTTTTGAGTTTTGGGTATTCTCGCAAACATCTGCTGACTAGCACCACAGACCTAGTTCTTAAACAAAGTGTTTTTTAAGTCATTTGGGTGACCGAGAAAGGGAAATATTTGTGAAGTTTTCTGAAATAACTTAAACTTGGATCAGTTGAAAATGACAGCAATAATATCATTTTAATGTTTAGAACTAACTTCGATGTATAGAGGTATTCTCAGCTGCTAACAATTAATACAAAAGTCAAATCATATAGTATGTTGTAGTGATGAATCGTAAACAGTGTTTGGTTTAGTTGTCTCATTCTTTTCTTTAGAGTGGTTATGGTTGACAGTTCTGCTGAAGTATTAGACATTTCCGAAGTAGACAGAGAATATATGGGTTTATTGATATAAAACGAAACTGAAGAAACAATCCTTACAAAAATAAAGATAAAGCGACAAAAAATGTGTGTTGTTATTTCAACCTATAAACACATCTTCATTTGATTTTCAAGAATGTGTTCTTACCATATCTAATTAGTAAAGATAACTGTAAAATGCAGGCTTTGCATTTATTTGTAATCAATTTGTATCAGAACTATTCAGCCATAACAAAAAATGTTTGATCATTCAATTAATAAATTATAGGCAGATCATTCGCACCTTTCAGAGGTTTCTGTTCGACTATTCTAAATAAAAGTTTTTAATAAGTTGGCCAGAGTAGGAAAAAAAGGACGCTTTGTATTCTACAAAACAGCTACTTTTTCTTTGATTTTTTTCGCAAAATGAACATATGTTTACAAAAAATGTTGAAACTAAGTAGCTTTTTAGTTTTTTAATTTTATTTTATAAATTAAGACTCATGTTATAACCTTTAGCCAGTTGCTGTCTTGAAGCTTTCGTGTTGCTTATTTGCTTATTTTATTTTAAAAAACCAATAGGTACTCGTTACGAGAAAAGGTGTTTTCTAGTATAATGAATTTCGATTAACAGTTAATGAATATAGTCCTCTCATGCCACTTTTCTATGCTGTACAAAATACTTTTCTTATATTAATCAACTATTTTAAAAAGCATATAGTTTTATGAACTATACTGTTAACAGATTAATATTAAAACTGAACATTATTTGATTGAAACATACATAGAATATAATTGCTGTGACCTCGTTTCTCTTTCTTGCATTGCGTCTTTCATTGCGCATTTTTCTTTTATCTAATTTAAATATCAAATTACAAGTGTTAAAATAACATTGAGAGAGTTTAAAGTTTTGTTATTATTTATCGTACAAAAAAAATAGAAAGAGGCACTGTTAAACACTAACAAGAAAATTAAAATGAATGAGCTACAGCAGGAGAATCTACTTTAACTTCACAATCGTCTACAGAATTATATTCAACGGAAGGGCATCTCTTCACTACATCATCATCAAAAAGTCTAATAGAAACATATACATTTCTGGTAACATTATAAAAACATTTTGGTCTTTAGAACGTGTACACGATCAGAAATTTCTTTTACTTCTTACTAGAATGATTACAATTGTAACATCAGCTATCTTGAATTTCATTTTTTTATTTATAAAATTTTTTCATTTGTTTCGTTGAAACGACGAAATATTTGTCATTAACAAGAAAAATAAATCATGTTGAACGTACGAGGAGAATTGAAAATGTGAAGGTCAATGTACTTGTTAATAGTAAAAAACTTCTTGATAAATTTTGCTAATAAACTTGCAGCATTTTGTCGTTGCTGTTCTATGAGTTGCATTTTCATTAGCAATATGTTCATTTAGAGATATTTTATCTGTAGTAAACAGGTGTATATATAAGTTAGCTTTTCTACTTTGTTTCAAATCCGCTAAATGTTATAAGATTTGAATGAATGACAATTAATTGATGATCTAAAAGATGTTTAACATGCTTCTGCCAGCAGGAAACCTTATATGTTTTGGATATTCGATGCACTATTCATGAATAAATATTTCTATTTATTTATTCTAAATGTTTAATTCATACCGATAGATATGAATAAATATTTTTGATTCGTGAAAATGAAAATTATTCGTTTTATTTCTACTTTCGCAACACAAAAGCTGAATATGTACTCAAAAAAGACTTATGATTTATGGACTGTTTTCGCATCATCAAATTTTTGGCAGTTATAATTAATATTATAATTAAGGGACATAGTACACATCCAAGGGGCATTTAATTAAACATTGAATTGAGATCTTTTTAAAGTTGAAAAAGCGAGAAAAAGTTTTTCATTTTTCTTTAAATATTTTATTTTGCTTCAAAAATTTTATAAAATGTCTCTTGGCTGTATGATGATACTCGTGTCGCGGAGCATTTGAATCATTAAAAATGTTGAAATCCGAATTACGTCTATGTCCACCATGCAAACCCAAAATGCACAACGGGGAGCGAAGTATAAGAAAAACTTTATTACTGCCTGTTGAACACAGTACCGTGACGGGAGAAAAAACCAGGAGGGGAATCAATTTTGTTTTGAGAAAACCATAGAAGTAGGAGAATACAACACCATCTACCATCTTAATTTCAACACGATAACTAAACGATAATGATTTGAACTCTTTTTCTCATCGAAGAAAAGTGGGAGAAAGATTTTTCAACTATTTTGGGAGACAAAGTGGAAGAAAGCATGTTGTCGTTAAATATTGATTAGATTGGTTACCAAATCTGAGCAATTCTTGGGAGAGAAGAGGCGTTAAAGAGAAATTTTTTTCCAAAAGCACGAGGAGCGTATACCCCCTTACTCCCCATCCCCTTTGGTCACGGCACTTTGAAAATCAGAAAGATCCAATGTTAGCTACATCGTTTAGGTGTGAGTTATTGCAGAACTGCTGACGGATTCTATTTTCTTTAACAATACATTTAAGCGATAAATTCGCGTTACACATAAAGCATTTTGGCAATAGATTCGTCTTTTCTGTAGAACTTTTCTGTAGATTAAGAAGATGGATGGTCATCTCTGACGATGGAGCCAACAAGATTATGATGACATTCGATGTGTATATTCTCAAATTAGTTAAAAGAAAAGTTAAAGTAAGGCAGTGTTGAAGTTTCAGTGCATAGTAAGAACTAGTCCATGTTTCAGATGCTTTCTGGTCAGGTTTTGTAGAGCGGTTTAACGGTTTTAATCATTTTCAAGCGTCTATAACTAGGTTCTTCACAAATAAATATTATAAGCGAGCCACTCATGTCGTCTATATGTTCTTTGTAGAAAGGTGCGGGATCATATAATTGTAAGTCACGCCATAATATATCAACATCACACCTAAATCTCCATAATGATTTATAATGCTTTCCTAAAAACTCAGTAAAAACTTTTTTGTAACAGAAAACTTGCATCGATTATGTTCTTATATGAATGCCCATTCAGTATGAATTAACAAATTTTTTACGTTTTTTACAGTGAAATCCTGAAGGTTAATTCAAGATCTCCTAGAGAATCCCAAATACGACTTAAAAACTTTCGTTTACATTCACATATTAAGACTGTTTTTAGAACTATAAAAGATAGAAATATCTTTTTTTACGCGTGCATTATTCTGTGATAAAATAGCCGACTGTGTTAAGGATTTCGAAAGATTTCCTTGAAAAAACTTAGGTGAACTGGTCCCAAACTCCGCAACTGCATACATTTTAACTATACACTTTTGGTTATTGGACAGCAAGAAAATAAAAATTTTAGCTTTTCATGTATGGATTTTATAAAAAATCACGAAAGACCCTTTGATAATCCTCCTAAACACAGGAGACTTTTGCAAAATGAAATGTTACGGATAAAGAATGTGTGCTCTATTTTATTAACATATTTAGAAACCTACATAAAGAATGGAATATTGTTAATTTGAACAATGCCAATAGCTTCAAACTCAAAACCCACGTTTTCAACAAATCCATTACAAAATTCAAACCTGAACAAAACAATTAGAACCATTGAATGCAACATATTCGAAAACCCTTAAGACCTAGTGAATATTCTTCGCAGTTTCGTAGTTACCCAGATAGCGGATATTGGAAAGATGTTCATTTTGAAGAAACATATTATTGAAATGCACTCATAGGCATCATAAAAAATGATATTTACAGAACGGTGCTCAAAGAACGAACACTCCTACTTTACATTATTCACAACAAACCTTGGAATAAGAAAGAAATGTTTCAATTCTTTTTGGAAAGAATTTTCTTCGGGTTTATTGAACAATAAAACTTTGTTTAAGAGATTGACTTTGCTATAATGCTCGAAAGGATAAAGCGAAGTATATATCAAATTTATTTAATAGCATGTAGCAACAAAGCATAGGGTACAAAAAAACGATATGAAAAAATTGTGCAGGCAACCGAGTCTTGTCTAACTGATTGATATTCTTCGAAACTTTTAGCCTCAAAAATTTCGTTTTGAAATTCTGTCATAATGGAAGAATTAACATTTGATTCTTTCGTAGATAACTGTCCATGAAAGAACTGGTAATCAACAATACTTGAGAAATGTCTTGATTTCGATAGGTGCGCTTATATTTTTCTCATTTCAACACTAGTAGTAGAATACTATGAAAAATGTTGAAGATCAGCTTTCCACCGAAATATATTCGCACAAATTAGAAATAATATCGTAAATTTTATAATTATATTTATGTCAGTCATCGTACCTTTGTTCGTAGTAGTTGATGTTGGCATTGTCGTTGTTGTTGATGATGGTATTGTTGTTGTTATTGATTCTATTGATTTGATAATCCCTTGCACTTCATGGAATGTAGCGTTGTCGTTACAATGTGTTGTATTACAGACATATATATCATTATGTATCTCCACAAGTTTTGAGTTCGAATAGTAACTTGTAGTTTCAAAAAGGATCCCCAATGAAATACCATCTGCAGCAATAAAAACATCGTCTAATCCACAGGAGCTACTGTTCAGAGTCTTAACATCGTCTGAACCGAATATATTTGCTTGGCATTTCGTGCAGTTTTGATTGTCATCCATTGCCAATCCGATTTTACATTCCACATCTGATGACACAGTGTTCATATCGTACAAAATGGCTGTAAGTTGACCTTGTAGTAACTTCATTTTCTCCTTTTCGTCTATAAATCCTTGCGTTCTTGTACGAACATACTCGACAGTACAATTATCAGAATCATCACAGTGGTACGCAACTACGGTTTTACGGATTTCGGCATCAAACGCAATAGTTTTTTTTGTATTGGTATAATTCAGAGATGGTGGCGATGTGCTAAAATCGTCACCTTGCAGAAATTTTATCGTTATATTCTCTGTCACGTAATTGAACTCTAACTGTACCACGCATTCCTCAGTCTCAACCATCACACATCCTGATGGTAAAGAAAATGTTGACCAACCATTAAATGCGATTGAAAAAGTGCAAGTTAGTTGGGTTACGCTGTACGTAGGACATGATACATTCATACTTGCAGTTAGTGGAAAAATTATGGACAATATCAGCATTATGGAAATCATCGTAGACATAACGTCGCAGTATTATTTCAGGGACTGAAGAATTTAAAGTTATTTCTAAAACAGAAGGTGTGTAAACTTAGAAAACTGTATTTATGAAAGAATATTAATCGGATATTTATGGACAACAAAAAAAATTTTCTATGTTGAAAGATGATCCGAATCTGAATAATTAAATGTATTCTTTTCTTTTCGTTGTCTGCAATCATATTTGTAGTTGCTGTTGATAACGAGATATGCCTACGCTGCGATTGCTGATCATGTTACAATTGACTTTATTAATAATAAGTAAAACATATTTACATGTATTTCTTAACAACAGACGATCACACAAGTCAATAATTTATTATTAAACGACAATATGAAAGTAACGACTCTTAGTTACGCCAACATTGTTATTTTATATCCTGATATTTTATCGGAGTCTTGTATGAGAATAAAAAGTATGCTTCAATTTATCGCTGATCGACTAATGGAAAATTGAGATATGAATAAATAGATTCTGCCATTTCCTGAGGTCAAATTCACTCTTCAGTTTAATCGCTCTTAGCGACCATACATTACCCAATTTATTATTCGATTGTTGAAAAACAGATATTTTTTGTAAGTATCTTTATAGCACACAACCATAAAACACACCTTGAAAAGTTTCCATATAGTATCGTCCAATTTATACAAAAATTAGATGATATTCGAGAAGGTATCGCCCTTATTATTATTATTATTATTATTATTGTAGCTTTGTATTGCGTGAAGAAGTAAAATCCGCAATTCCTTCTTGAGAACTCATGTGGAACATGGTTTTCGACAAGAACAACATTTTGTAGTCCTTGCTTCAAGCTACTTTGAGTCTTTTTTCTTTTTAATGCAACGTTCTACTATGCTCCTCTATACTTCATTCGAAAGGCCAAGCTGAGATTCACAATTGTTGCTATGAGTAATCTTCCACAGTAAGACATTGAGTAATTTTCGAACGTCGTGTGAGCATTTGAATTTTTATTTTTAAAAAAGATTATTTCCAGTTTAACTTCACTCTCTTATAAAATACCTCTGATAAAACGAAAACTTATAAAACTAGGGAAAAATTATTTCACTTTAAATTTTTTCTAGGAAATAACTCTTTATGCATAATTCCGAACATATAATTTGTTTTCCTTAAAAAAGCCCAATGAACTAAAAACGATTACTGCAAAAACTGATTTTTCGCAGACCCCATATCTAGATCCAAGAGATAAAGCGCATAAAAACGCATAGTGAATAATTAATGTGGACACAGAGTCAGCACACTAAGTCTGAGGCAAACTAAGTTAGTAGGAAAGACCAGCCGTTCCAATTGGTGATGAATAACTAACTCATGCTCGGCTACAAAAAGTCTTTCACTCCCGTTTGGAACTAAGTCACTCCGAAAACGGGTTACATTCATATGGAAATTTTTTCAGTGGTTTATCACGCTCATAATGGAAGCAATCACGACCCTGGAATATCTTCTCGCCGTCGCTTTTCTTCATCTCGACTCTCATCCGTTCCTTTTTCTCATAATGAAAATTTTCCAATTAAGTCGAAGTCAAGGCTATCATTTTCCAACTTGAATACGGTGACTAAGTACTGTGCTGTAACAAAAAATTGAAAATCCTTCGAAAATTAGTAGTGACTATATACTAGTATGAGTGTGAGCAACACAAAAATGATAACTAAGATTTCCCGCGGAAATCCCACCACAACAAAACTTAATATAGTCAAAAAAACGAAAAGTGAGATGAAATGAGCCTAATACTACACTACTGTTAACAAATTGTCGACACTTTCTGATCTGTCTAATAAAGCAATAGAACTACAGCAACATTTCGTAAGAAAAAAGTACCAGTGCGACATGGTTTCGAAAGTTCTTTGAAAACAATTGTCTTCTTGTAATTTTGGCTGATCGCGAATCAGAAATCTTTTTAAAAATAGGAGTTCATCGCCCTCACAGTGTGATAATTGAGACTTATTAGAACTCTCGACCACATCTACGCGAATGCAACGGGAATAAATCAAAAAATTGATCTGAGGGTAGAAACGCATCGCATTGAACCAGCGGTAACTCCAAGGAAAATTTAGAAACATAACAAACAGCTTATATTGTTATAACACTTACTTGACAACAACATAATGCGAAAATACTATACTTTTAATTGTCGCGCAAATATCGACATCAAAGCATAAAGGGTGGGTACTAAGTTCTGACCCGCTTTGTAAATTGACGTTATTTATATGAAATACATGTGATACAATTCAGCTGTTTTTTGGAGAAGATTCATCATTTAATTCTCTACAAAATGTAGATAGAAGATGATCCTGAGACTTGAGATTCCGTCTTGATTGAACAGAAACCGAAATGCCCCAAAGTTTCAAAAATTTAACTCGAAAAACTGTATTTCGTCAGTACAGGCTTGAATATATGTGTTGTGCCCACATCAAATAGGCCAACATGCAGCCCTTTTTCTATCGACTGGCTACAATGCGAATTTTCGGTCGTTGTTTCCATGTTTTCAATAATGCTTTTTGCAAAATTCCTGTGAATGTTTTTTCAACTTTTTCAACATGCAGTTTGAAGCTGTTTGTAAAATGAACAGTACAGTGCTCACCCAAAAATGAATGAATCAGACTCGTTCTTGCGTCATTTTGAAGAGAAACGTTTCAGCTATTCGACTCATGTGCGAAATATGTGATGTCAATTCCCTAAAAATAATCGAAACGCCGAAACTACCATTTT